CCAGCTTCCAAAGCGATATATATAATTTTACCTTGAATGGAGGAGAAGTAACATGGAAAAGTTCCAAGCAGGAAAATGTAGCTGATTCAACGTGCGAATTAGAGTATATTGCAGCAAGCAAAGCATCAAAGGAAGCGATATGGTTGAAAAACTTCATCGGAGACATTGGAGTCATTCCATCTATAAAGGAGCCTATGGAGATCTTCTTTGATAATGAAGGGGCGATTGCCTTAACCAAGGAAATGAGAGATCTTGATAGATCCAAGAATATTGATAGAAAGTACCACTTCATAAGACATCAAGTAGAAGAAGGACACCTCGTGGTAAAGAGGATATCGTCAGAGGACAACCCAACAGACCCCCTTACAAAGGACTTACTAGGGTTATCCACTTGCAACATGAAAAGGGCATTGGAGTAACGGACGATATTAGTTTTAGTGGTTAGATAAATAGAAACTTGTAATAGCTAAATTGTAATTGACATTTGATGATTAAATAAAAAAGAGTTTTATTTATAAGTAAAGTTACTGTCTTTTGTAAATTATTTACTATTGTTTCACTTTGCATGTTTTGACTTCCAAAATAATAATAATTATTCAAACTATCCACAGTCGATCATATGTTGGAAGTAAGTATGAAAGAAGACTTTCATGAGTTGGCTTGTGGATTGTCTAAGGTGTTAGACATAGCAAGAGTATGCTACACCATTCATGAGTGCTCCTGAAATAAGATTTGAGTATTGGATTCAACCCATGTTCACCTGAATTACTTCATGGAATTTATCACGAGTAATTGTGAGACGATAATATCATATAATCTTCAAACCAAGATATGAGTTGTTGACTATGAGTTGGTTGTGAATTGATGGCACGGAAACGCATCAGTAACTTGATGTTATAAAATGTGTCTTTGTGCATGATTTGATGAGTGGTTAGTACAAGCATATAATGTCGAAGTTCATATGTTCCTATTATCCTAAGAGAATTAAAAGCGATGCCTTGGGCCATTCGATGATTCTGTTTTGACTATATGACGGGCCCGATCATAAATAAACTGATGTGTTCAGTTATGTTCCATGTCAGACGAATCGGAAATTAGGAAACAAATTGCGAGACAATAAGTACGACTATGTTCCATGTGTTTGTCTGCATAGATATCTTGAGAAAAGAGGAATATATGATCCCTTATCTGAAGGACATGTCATTGACTAGGTCAGAGTTCGACAACAGATTTTGAAAACTTACGATTGCTAAGTCGAATCCTGAAGTCACATTGGCAGCTATAGTTATTAGATTTATCCAAGTGGGAGACTGTTGGATTTTGTGTCTAAGCCCATAACTATAATTGGGATGTACTTGACCCAATTGTAGCATCGTCCTTTTGGGTTGCCTTCACCAGTGCAATTTGATAGGATGGACTTTTGAGAATAAGGTTATTTATGATTTATTAATATATTACAAGTATAATATGTTAATATGAAATCATATTAATTAATTTGGAATTAATTTTGTGGTAAAAGAGACTAACTAAATATATGGGGATTGATTATGTAAATTAATTATTCTTATAGTGTGGGCTAATGATCCATAATTATTTAGATGGGCTAAACCAATAAGATAATCGATGGATAGTCCATGGAGGTTAAACACGTGGAGCATAAGAATATGAAAAGTCATGGAGCAATAGGGTTTACAAAGTGTAACCCTAGCATTTGATACACTATAAATAGACCCCTATAGAACCAAAATCGGTTGATCCATCTTTTGAGCTAAGTAACTTGTTCTCTTAAGCCTCATCATGCATATTGGTCTTTGTGAACCATTAGAGGAACCACACATGGGGTGCTCAAGCTTCAAACGTCAAGAACTATAAGTCCTTCTAAGAGGTATGTCATCAAACTAGTTGTATTATTCATTTGACAATTGTATGCTAGTTAGAGAGAATGCTTTGGAAAAATTTGAAAATGCATGTATATTTAGAGAAAACATAGATCCAAAGCATTTAGGGTTGGATGTGTACCATAGGAGTGTGATAGTACTCAAAACCGAACAATATGGGCCCGTACTACTAAAAGCAGAGGACCCATACTCGAGTCAAGGAAGGCTAGCATGAATCCAAGGAACTTGTAGTATATGTACGATCCTTCGAGTACGATTAGTATTCTGATGTTTATTATGATGTGTTTTTAGAATGGTGGTTTTACGCACTAAACCAGTCGGCAATTCCGGCACCGGTGAGGGATCTGGCTCGAACTCAGGAGTCGGGTAGCTAGACGACCAGACTAGGGAGTTCATCTCCTCTGAGATCACACACAGTATCTTGGATATGACTCCTGTAATCTTTGGCACAATCAAGGAGGGTATTTTAGAGCTTATGGATGAGAGGTTGAGTGCTTTCCGCACTGAGGTGTCAGCCATGATGGGGTTGCACACACTGACTTTTAGGGAGTTTAGGGCTTGTGGAGCTCCCGACTATCATGGGGCTCGGGACCCCATTGCTAGCACCAGATGGTTGGATGATGTCGCCAACACATTCCGTACAAGCAGATTTCCTAAGGGGAGCAAGGTCCGACTTGCATCCTTTCTTTTGAAGAACAAGGCACGTAATTGGTAGGAGGAGGTCGAACGAGCCATTGGGGATGATATAGTTCTAGATGCTATGACCTAGAGTGATTTATCGGCCAGGTTTAGGGCTGAGTTCGCACCTATGATTGAGTTGCAATAGCTTGCGAGGGAATTCCAGGATCTTGAGTAGACTACAGAGATAGAGGCGGAGATCACCGCTAAGTTTAGGGAGAGGGCCCTTCTCGTTCTGCAATACCTGGTGAACGATGAGATGAAAAAGGCCCGACATCATGAGATGTTGGCAAGTGATATCCACCAGTTTGTGAGCTGCTCCAGCTGCAAGATGCTACAGGAGATGATTGCTAGGGCTCGATAGAGGGAGCTAGATTTGGAAATGGAGAGGAAGAGAAAACCAGATGGGGTTCAGACAAGCAGTGCGGGCAAGAAGCCCAAGTTATTAGACCACAGATCGAGGAGCCAGCAGGGCTGCAACCGGTGTGGCAAGTGTGGCAAGATGCATGGTATCCCATATGCTTCGGGTAATGTATCATGTCTTTATGTAAGAAGCCCAAGTAACTTATTCTCTGAAGCATCCTCTTGCATGTTGAAAAGATTCAACATAAGAGAATTCTATATAAATAGAAATATTATAGCGGGAGATTGGTAAAGTATCAGGTCTTTATGTAAGATATTATGAATGGTATCCCATACCTTTCAGGTATAGGATCGATTGCATATGCTGTAATATTCAACCGTTCTAATTTTCCAAATGTATAGGGAATTAAGAGGGAAAAACGTCTAAAACTGGACATGACTGAATTAGTTAAACAACTATCAAGGATGATCTAAGGTTCGCTAAGGATTGGTCGCTTGTGAGCAGCTGGAAGTAAAGTAATGAATGGAACATATTGACATTATTATGAATAGATAGGATTCTATTTAAAATGAGTTGTCATATGGAAAATTTGGAAATGTTTCTGTAATGGGAGTTGGATATAATGAATCTATGTAGATTAGAAACTTTTATGCAAAAG